GCCTACCGCAGCGGGCTGCAGGGTCCAGCACAGCGCTCCGGCTTCTCTCTGCCCATACCCCGAGCTTTCAAAGGGTCCCCCTTAGAATTTAGACCATCTCTATACGTTGTTGGTGGTTAAATATTTTATTGAGCTCCTGGGCCAAAACTAGAAGCCCCTTGAAATAAAGCAGCACGTACCAAGAGGTAAGAAATACCCTTTTTAATTATTATTGTGTTTTCTCCAAAGGCTATAAATAATTTTTGTTGATTTCATCCGAGATACATATCAGTTTGGGGGCCTTTATTATAAGCAAATAAAGGTGGGGGTTTTATCAGATTGAAGGGGGTACAAAGAGCTTTGGATAGAAGACTTAATGCATGATCAGGTCAAGAGTATGAAGTAGCAAGGGATAGAGATGAAAATGTAGGTAGAGCCCCTCTCCAGAGCACTTCTACACACTGCTCTTATAAAATAGAGACAGGCCTTCAAGATAAAAAGCTCTAATTAAAACCCAGATAAAATAAACAAGTGAACCCCTTTTTAAAGGTCAGCTGTGCCCTGGCAGGTCAAAAAATTCCAGAATGAGCTATAAAATTAGAGGCTTTGGCTAGAAACCACTGAAGGACCACTCACTTTCAGTAACTATACAGACAGACCCAGCTAGGGAAGTGTATCAAGCACTTGTAGTAATACCCAAATGCTTAAAGACTCTTGTTCTACCCCTTCCAAAAGTGTTCTATGGGCAGGGAGGGCAGGAGGGCTGCTGCCTTTACTTGTTTTTTCTTGCACTACCTCCACAGAGAGCTGGAAACAAGAACCACAAGTCAAACCACAGCTGGGGACAGGAAAGCAAGAACTCCAGAGTACACAGAACCCCGAAACACAGAAAATTACAATTGATTCCCAAAGGAAGAGAGTCCTCAGACATGTGCTTCCCGTATCATTGCACACATTCCTCTATTCTGAGCAGCTTGATGGGAATTAAGAGTTCACACACACAAACTGAATGCAGTCAGCACCATTCTTTTCATGCATACCAAGTTGATTCAACCCCAGATCTAGCAGATGATTAGATAAGTTTCCACTAAACCAGCAGCAACACACTTAGAGATCCACCACACGGCTGCACACTCCGAATTGCAGTCTTAACAATCAATGTACATCATCTCCTCATGTCTCAACTACAGGTTTGTGAACCACCACCTCCGGCAGTAAAGGTCTAACTACACACACAGCTGTGGATCTATATTCTCGAGTCTGGCCAAGCACATGGGCAATACTGGGAGCATCTCCCAAAGAAAAAGTCTCATCTTGAAATACATGGTTCAAATCCACGTTCCAAAATTAAGACCTCTCACTAAGGAACCACTTCTTTTAGAAAACACAGCTTGTTTCAATACTAACAGAACTCACAGCAGTTAGCATGATAATGGGCTTCTAATCATGCATGTTATTCCAAAGGAAAGTCATGGATGACATGGAAAATAAAAGCTTAATGGTGTTTAGAGATGAGGTTAAGTAAAGGTGAAGAAAATAGTAAAACATAATCAAAAGTTCATGGAGCCATAACAATAATAACAATTAAAAAAAGAGTATTTTAAAATTATTTGCCCCATCTTTATGTAGAGATTATACATATTTAAAATACTATTTTCCAGGTAAACATATAATAAAAACATTATTCAAACAGCAATTAAGATATCCTGCAGTACAAGATTCTTTTAGAAAGCTGCTTTCTCTTTATACTATTTTCAAGTATATCAGTCAGTGGTATAAAAAGCTTCTTTTACTTTTCCTACTGTACTGTCTTTCCACCCGGTTTCCCTGGGGCATCTGGTTCTCATTCTGCAGTACACAAACCCCTGCTTGACTGGATTCTTGGATTTGGAAAGGCCACTTTTTTGTAGACACAGGGAACAGCAAGCAGTAAGGGTCCCACGTCCAGTAACTTCCTGGCTCAGTCAGAATCACCATCAGAACCATCACTGCCTTCAAGATTGCTGCTGTTCTGTAAAGTAAGATGGAAAATGGCTTGTCAGTATTTCACATACATCTAGAGACTGATTAAACCAAAGACATTGACTTTACACTTCCCCAGAAGTGCAAGAAAATGGGTCTAGATCCCAGCTTTATGTCTTAGACTCATCTATTGTAACAAACTTCTGTGATGGTAAATGATGTCTCCTGTAGCAAAACACTTGCATGTTGGATTACGCACACCATCAGAAGAAATTTCTTCTCATTTATGTATTTAAAACTACACAATTACAATGTGCCATATTTAGGAAACTTAACTGTGGGATAATAGTACGAATGCTGATGGTTAAAATAAATTCGAGTGAGACAAGTTAACAACTGCTTGCTTCATGCATGTCCCTCAAAAGCTGTTTGTTACATTTTCTAAAGCCAGATTTGAGAATTTGGTTTGCCTGCTGCAGAGACTTTAAGTCCAACCTGTATTAGAGATGCAAAGGCTCACTAATACCTGTTTAAAAATGAAGTCAGTTGTACAAAGTAGTAGTAGAGAAATACTACAAGTGTCAGCAACTTAAAAGGAAACTGAAGTCTGAGTTCTTAACTGGCAGCCAATCCTTCCAAGAGTAAGCCAACGAACTTGGTGACATAATTTTTTGAAGCAACTATTTTGACTGCAATGATTGGCACCACGGGATTTTATAAAGGAAGGCTAACATGACAATATGCCTCTAGTTGTTCCTTTTCTCACCACCACTTGCTGAAAACATATAAACCTCCAAATCCCATGAATATAACATTGACAGTTTAATATCCTACTACAAAACAAATTCTGAGGGACCTAGACAGTTGCCTTCGTAACAGCAAGCACAGCTCATTGAAGTGCCAGCAGCCTGCAAAATCTCAAAGGAGTCTGTCATAAAATCCCTTATTTATCCTCCTCCAGACAGCCAACTATGATGCCAAAACTGTAACCTGCCAGCAGTGAATCCCGTCAACATTATCATCACGACCCCTGAGCCAGGCAAAGACTCTCCACACCACACGGTCTCTTTGGGTCCCATTTAACCAAACTAACGTGGCATTTGTCGTAACCTCCTGTCACAGATGTCCTCGTACAGCACTATACTTCAGAAGAACAATTACCTCAAGTAGAGAAATAACCCTGAGAATTTCTGTTACCTTGTTTGGACTATTCAAGAAGGCTGCAAATTTTGGTTTATATATTGAAACTCTTTCTCAAACGAAAAAAAAAATGGCAGAAACAAGATTAAAACTAATGTTCTTCAGAGCAGGGTCATTATCTGTACAAAATAAAGATAATTAAGGACTCTATTAAGTAAGGAAAGATCATTATTTTCTTCTGAGTTGCACTGCACAGGTGTTTTAGCCCTGCCCATTATTTGTCCTTCAAATATTTGCCAATCCTCTGGCCAAGAAAATATGAATTACATACATACAAGTATCTTTAGGTCATCAAGTCCAACCCCCTACTCAGCAAGGCTTGCTTCAAAGTTAGATCAGGTTGACCAGGGACATGTCCAATCAAGCACTGTTGTATTCTAAGTCACTCCAGTAGTTGTCAATTTAAAGCAATACCTTCAAGCCTGACTCAAGATTCCTCATGTGGTTTTCAACCTGCTTCTGCCGTGCCCCAAACATCCTTCCAGTCTTTTCTTGTGAGGCTGTTCTACATCTCAACCAGAAAAACAAACATTCAACACCCCCCAGAAACTAAAATTGACATTTTGTCTTCATTAAAAACATATTCTGCACTTTTATTTTATTGCAACTTACAGCTGACAGCAATTCCTGTTGTCAGAAATCAGCTCTCACAATATCCCGTTTTACTCAGTAGTTGTTCTGATGACCCATTTTGAGCTTATGGCAGATTTACTTAAAAAACCCGGTCCTAAATTTCTCCCTGGTTCCAAACCTTACTGAGTGAACAGGGAATTACACAAAGTGAGAATCAGCCCAAAATCAGAGGGTACAAAAAGCCAGCAGGTATTTAAAATGGAAATTGTCAACCTGAAAACTAATCTCTCAAACAGCTTCACAAAAGCTGGTGATGTGTCTACAATTTCTGTTGCCAGTTTATGATTCTGCAAAGTGGCCTGTGCTTTAGAGCATTCCCTCCTCCCTCCAACTGCCCCACACAAAACCCTGCAATAAATAACACTTTGTATAGTTCATTCCACTATCATCAAGTGCACAAAGACGGAGAAGATAACACACATTTCATACTCCAGATGACTGTCATTTTCCATGGCATATTAATGGAAAACAAAAATGTTGCTAAGGGAAGAGCCACGTCAACTTGACAGCTTCCACTTGCTAAAATAATGGCTTCAATCATTACCTTTGAGGTTTTGTTGTTAGCTTGCATCTCAACAGCAGAAGAGTTGAAGTCATGAATGGAGAGGGTGGTTAGCCAGTTTGCCATGGATTTCTCCTCCCTTTCTGTGTTGATAATGGTAGGGTAGATATACTGCTCTTTGAAGACAGCAATCTTCTCCTCCTCCTCTGTCCACTCCAGTGGCTCGTGCAGCCCATCGTTTCCAAACCGTCTGTTGTATTTTTCAAAGTGTACTCTTTCCAAGACCAGCCCAAGTCCTGGGGCTTTGGGGACATCTACTTTCTCCTCTCCCCAGCTGCGCTCGATGGTAGACTCAGCAGCATAACCTTTCACAATAGCTATTACCAGCCCAATCATCTTCCTTATCTGGTGCATCATGAAACTCTGGCCTTTCACTTTGATGACTGCAAATTCTACGTTTTCCCTCACAAATGGCTCTCCACAGTACATCTCCATTATGTACCGCTTGGCACTGGGGTCCCTCGGTCCCTTCTGAGATGTGAAGTTGTGGAAGTTGTGAGTTCCTTTATAGCACGCAAGCAGTTTATTGACTCTTTTAAGGGTCTCTTTGTCGAGTCGATAAACCTCTTCTTGCACATCATGGTCTTTATGAGCAAAGGCAAACGTTGGCAGCATGTAGGAGTAGGTTCTGGCATCACACTTGTTCTTGGAGTTGAATCCCCCAGTGACTCTCTTCAGACCTTGTTTTAAAAGTGACATTAGGTTTTTGAATCAGTAGGTTACAACCTGATTGTCATCTTGTTCCTACCAACAAGAGTATTTTTTAAATAAAATACAATCAGAAGATAATTTATTTTATAGGACCCTAATTTCAAGCTTACAGAAACATATATATCTACATTAAAACTAAACTGCTTATTAAGTAAAATCATAATAGTAAGAGAGAGACCTTCTGCAGGAGAGCTCCTCTTTGAAAACATTTTATCTGCCCATCCCAGTATCCTTACCCAGAATTCTGATGTGAGAAGGAAGATGGTTATTGATCTTCTCTAAGATGTCATCTATTAGCCTGACCTTTAGCGACACAATCTGTCCAGCTGCAGATACACCCTATAAAACCCATAAAACACAAAACCACATAATTGTGTGCCTTGGAACCTCTGGGATAGCACTTTCAGAACTGAAATAGCCGAAGAGCAAGTTTTTCCCTTTTTTTCACTGGTCATTTCAGGCTGAAGCGAGGCAAAGGCAAGGCCACAGGCAGAAATCCAAGTCAGAGCACTCCTGGAAGACCTGCTGGTGCCGTACAGCCATACCACACCTCAGTAATCTTAGCAGAACATTGTACTCCCATAACATCTCACTGTATTTGAATGCTCTTAAGTAAAGCACCAACTGAAAAATCACGTATACATAAGATCAGCGGTAAACTCCAGTTCACTGTGGCAGGCTTAAAACCAACTGAGATGCAGCTACAGTCTCAAGCATCACATCAACCAGGCAGCAGCAACAATGGAGCCGCAGCAGCAGGTTGAGAGGCTGAAGCAGATGAATGTGACAAACACAAAGTTTAGGTATGAAGCACCAGTTTCACAAACACCATCTAATCGTAACGTGCTCTTCCTAAATACTTGCTTCTACTTAAGTTTAGCAGTGGATGAAAGGAGAATTTTCAAGCAACAGTCCCAGAATAGTATCTGCTATTGGATCTCACTCTTTACTCACAACGCTTTACCAGCCAACCCCAGTAGCACTGGTAGGGGTACACCAGAGTTTGAGAGCACAGGTCCTAACCAATATACCTTGTCTGTTCGAGCACACCGCTGAAAAGACATTTTCTTCATGTCTTCCCCGTGGTTTTCTGGGATGCAGCCTGACTGAACAAGGGCAGATACTAAGTCATCTTCAATCGTCTTGAACTGTGAAGATCCCACATTTCTCTAGAAGAGAAAAATTAGAAACAGAACAAACAGTAAAAACCAGATAACTGAAAAGTTTTGTTAATCAAACACTGTTGTGAAATTCTTTGAAAGTCTTCCCTTCACAGCCCTAAAAACACTGCCATTCGCTAACAAAGCTAATTATACTTTCCCAGAGCATTAACAGAACATCTACATCCTGATTTACCTTTCACTGTTATTGCAAGTGAAGGATCATTCAGTTTTTTTGGTGATGCCTTCAATTGCATGAAATGATAGTTAACACTAACTGCAAGTCAGCAGCTGCTGCTCCAAACCTCCTCTACCAATTCTGCCTGTAGCAACTGGGTTGGATTCTTTTGCTCAGTTCACCTGAGCTCTTGTGCAGCGCAGACTACGGTGTTCTCCAGTGACTTCTGCATTCAGCTCGCAGATGAACTACAACAGATGCACAACTCCACTGGCGCATAAGGCTGCGAAGCACACCCCCTTGACACACACCACTCAATTAGCAGTAAAGCTAACAGGCACTTACACGGATGTGCCCATAAGCATAAGGCTTACTGCTGCTGAACAGATCTACATTGCTGCATAAGCATGAAAGACTCCCTTTCCCCGTCTGCGTGCATCTTATCAATTATCCTGTGGAGCTTTTAAAGTACTCCTCAATGGAGAGTGGAGCCTGCAGTGCACCGGGAGGAGCAGCAGATGGAGCAACATCGTCCTCTTGCTGCTAATACTGCGTGCCACAGGATCATCCCTGCGGGGCAGGCCTGGTGCTGGGGCTGTAACAAAGCAACATCCCTTTTCTTCCACATGCAAACACAGATGTCTTGCAATAGTTTTCCTGTTTCTAAACTGCTGCGAGCCACGCCATTAGAGTGCATCAGAGAATGGACGATTTAAAGTATTTTCAAGTACAGATAATCTTTTTGAAAGTACAAGAGATGGCAACACACATGCAGATTTGCTTAACTCAGTTATGCAGCTCAGGCCTCCAGCATGGGCACGTGAGACAACTTGAGGTCTAACCTAGAAGAAATTTAGCCCAACAGCTTTGAAATGCAAAGCTTCCGCCAGAAGCTTTGGAGCACCGGTCAGAAGGGGATCACTGGACAGCTTGTTTTGACAGAACAGTGCTTTCAGTCTCCTCAAGAGCCTTCTCTGCAGCAGTTTTTGAGAGATTTCTGCTGATGCTCTGCTCTAAGGGCAGGCTCAAAGACTCTGAGCTGTACCGCAGACTGTTTTATTCCAGTTACCACCGAGCCATTTGAACCCAGGCATGCACTGCTCCCGCCCCAGCTTCCCAAGCTGCAGTTACAAACCTAAACAGACTGCAAAAACAAAAAGCAGGCCACGCTGCTTTGCCAAACCACATACCTGCATCCCATGGTAGCCTTTCCCCGAGTACGCCATCAGCAATACAATCTTCCTTTTGGGTGACCTTTTATTCTGATCCTCCCCATCTTCCTCATCCGCATCTCTCTTCAACCTTTTATTCTGATGCCCGTTTTCTTCTATCCTCTCCACCACCTCACTGCTGCTGTTCAGTCTCTTCGGCTGGCCGGCAACCGCTGCTCTCAGATCCTCAGCCATCGTGAGCACCTGCAAGGGACGCAGCAGCACACGGGGCTCAGCAAGAAACCGAGGCAAGACCCGGAGCAGCGCGGGGGGACGCAGGGCCGGAGGCAGGAGGGC